TTTTTTTTTTTTTTTTTTTTTTTGTTTTGGTTTTTCATTTTTCTCTATTTATATTCTAATTGCCAAATTGTCCTTTTCTTTTCGGACAATAGCCAACTATCCAATCGCCCTTTAAAGTCCACTTGAGCCCCAAAAAAAACAGAAAAACCTACTATTCAACACGTTATTCGGCATTTTTGTCAACTGAAAATGAAGTATTTTCTCTAGGTTATGAGCATATTGATTTGTTGATTTAGAAATTTACCACAAACTTTAAACATCAATTACGAAAATATTATTGTCATTCTCTGTACCTTATAGTAGCAAAAGACAGATTTAAGATTTAAATTTTATGAATTTTAATATTTTTAATATTAAACCCATCATATTTTCTATTTTCATAATTATTATTTCTCAAAATTATAACTTTAATTAAACCCATATCTATATGGCTACCTCCGTCACTAGTAGCAGCAGCCCTAAAGGAACTATTCCAACTGGTTTTACAAAACTTCCAAGAAACACGACTTCTTGTGTAGTCAAATGTACCACGCAGACCTTTTCTCCTTCTTACAGTAAACTCCATAAATCCAATTATAAAAATCATAGCCTATAAAGCTCAAATACCAGAACATTTCCTTCCAATTCATTCTCCTTCTTACCCAAAGCTCCATAACCCATCATCAAAAACTTCGGATCCATAGCCCTTAGAGCTCAAATACTATTACCAATTTTTTCTATCTTCCACTTTTCAACAGAATAAAGCACCCAAAAAATAACCCGAAATGAGGATTCCTTTATTTATCGCCATTGTTTTTGTTCTAAGCTTATCGCCAGCTTCAGCTCATTTCTTCCCAAATATCTCTTCAATTCCTCCTTCTTTATTGAAGCCTAATAACACTGCTTGGGATGCTTTCCACAAGTTATTGGGTTGCCACGCCGGTCAGAAAGTCGACGGCTTGGCTAAAATTAAAAATTATTTTTATAATTTTGGGTACATTCCTTCTTTGAGTAACTTTACAGATGACTTTGATGATGCTCTTGAATCTGCGCTCAAGACTTACCAGCAAAACTTCAACCTCAACACCACCGGTGTACTCGACGCGCCGACGATTCAGCATCTTATAAGACCCAGATGTGGAAACGCCGATGTAGTTAACGGCACCAGTACAATGAACTCCGGCAAGCCGCCGGCAGGTTCTCCGTCGATGCACACGGTGGCTCACTACTCGTTTTTTCCGGGCAGACCACGGTGGCCGGCGAGCAAGACAGATTTGACATACGCGTTTCTACCGCAGAACGGCCTGACGGATAACATTAAGAGTGTGTTCTCACGCGCATTTGAACGGTGGTCGGAGGTAACCCCGTTGACCTTCTCTGAAACGGCGTCGTTTCAATCGGCCGATATTAAGATCGGGTTTTTCGCCGGAGATCACAACGACGGCGAGCCGTTTGATGGTCCGATGGGGACATTAGCACACGCGTTTTCGCCGCCGGGGGGACATTTTCACTTGGACGGCGACGAGAATTGGGTCATCAACGGCGTGCCGATTGATGAAGGGAATTTCTTTTCAATATTATCGGCGGTGGATCTTGAATCGGTTGCGGTTCATGAAATCGGGCATTTATTGGGTTTGGGCCATTCTTCTGTAGAAGATTCTATTATGTACCCGAGTTTAGCAGCAGGTACCCGAAGAGTGGAGCTTGCAAATGATGATATTCAGGGAGTCCAGGTGTTATACGGGTCTAACCCGAATTTTACTGGGCCGAACACAGTTTTGACTCCGACGCAAGAGAATGACACAAATGGAGCCCCGATATTTGGTTCATTATGGGTTCACGTGGTCGTTGCATTCTTCTTATCATCATTTGTCCATTTAATTTAAAAATACTATATTTCTGTATTATTTAATTCATTTTAAAAAATTTAAAATATCATACGCCATTACGTTGTCTTTTAATGAAGATTGTTTCACTAGATGTTAATTCCATTATGCTTGTAAATGGTTGTTTTATGTATAGTTTTAGCTATTCTCTTTTTTACTTGAATAAAAATTGACTCTATTTTGAGGCAGATAAATCCANATATATATATATATATTAATTAGAGCTTGTATTAAAAGTCGGCTTTTCGTTTGTGGGTATCAAATGTTTGGACGACGACTGTTCACATTCTCTTCTAATTTTCACGTCTTTGCTACTTTTATGCTTACATGACCCAAAGGAAACGAGTGTTTTTGGACAATTAAGTTTATTAATTACCAAGTATATTTGTACAAAACAGGGTCTAAACAAACTTTTTAAACCCCTCTCAGAAGAAAAAGACCAATATAACTACTCTCAGAAGAAAAAGACCAATATAACTAGCAGCCTTTTGCACCAGACTTCCTTAAAAAAACAAATAAACTCAAATAATCTCCTATTGCCTCGGACCCTTATGAATAGAAAAGTCTTCAGTTCATGCAATATATCGCTTTAGCTTTGTTATGATACACTCGGACATTCCTTTCAATCTACATGTCATAACTCATAAACCACAGCAGCAAAGCTTGCCTTCAACAAGATCCCCTGTACAGTTCTCCTTTTAGACATCTGTGCCACCCATTTCCACTCCAATTCTCAGCACCTAATAGTTCTCTGCCGCTTCAACCGGCTGAGCATATCATGCCATATTGCTTTTGAGAAAGAACATTCAAAGAAGAGATGCATAGAGGTTTAGTATAGGAGTTACATAAGGCACAAATACCATCTATACAAATGCCCCATCTCAGTAAAATATCTTTAGTTTTTAGCTTGCCAAGTAAAGCCAACCATAAAATAAACACCTGTTTTGGCCGTGCAGCATAATGACAAATCAAGTCATTCACAACTTCACCTTGCAATGTGTTAGGATTTTTGTCACGATCCGATTTCTAACCAAGTCGTAACCGGTATTCGGTGCCTTAACTTGACCGAGCGCACCATCTCGGCTTTTCTATTCTGTTCTATTTCTGTTATGCAATGCATCTCAACACAATTTGATATGATTTAAAGTAAATTTTTTTCTGAATCTTTCATCGAAATAATAGTCTGAAAAGAAATTCATTCTGTTATTTGGAATAGATTGAAAAACTAATGTAATGCAAAATAGACACCTATGACTCTATCTATGAAGCCTCTAAGAAATACTGAATAGTAAGACAAAAATCTGGAATCAGCGAACTCCACGAACTAAAAATGGAGCTCATCAAATCTGCCGGTAATGAGAGGAGAATATCCTAGCTCGTAGCCTGCTTATCTGCAAAATCTGTGCCTACTTTGACATAGGTTAATGTAGGTTCCATGAAGAGAATATAAGTTCACCACAGTGGTACTCAGTAAGTAAAGCAATCCTCCGACTAAAGCTGGAGCGAGACTCTGAAAGAAGTATGTATGCATGATATACGAAAATTCTAAAACCTGTAATAAAGAGTTGAAACAAACAACTCATATATCTAGTATAAAGTTCTTCTTGATGTCACTCATGAAAATTCGCTTTCTTTTCTTTTCTGAAAAAAATATGAAATTAAAATAGATAAATATATAAACTTTCTCGAAACAATCCTTGTAAATTTTCTAAAGCATTTTCTTTTCTTTTCTAGGGAGTTCCATTGATTCTCAGATTCTTTCTCATTCTCATTCTAAAAATGTCACCATACGATCGGTATGGTGGACGATCCCAGCCCGATCGCCTAGACCTCATTCCTATAGTGCCTAATAGTTCAAGGTTTTAGCATGCCCGTGTTCTTGTGCCTTACCAGGGCACTTCTATCATAGTGCCCAAACCAACGGTACACTAATCTCCTACTTTGGCAAGAGTAGTTTCGGGATAACATAAACCACTAGAGGCTATGAACCCTTCTCAAAGATCTAAGAAAACTCCCAAGATAATCTTCTGAGTAATTCTTACATCACAAAATTTAAAACAATAATATATCTTCACAGTTCTCATCAAAACAGTCCCATAAAATCATGTAAAAGAAATTTTCATAGTCTATACATTAAAGAAATATATGCAAGTCATGAATGCATGAGACATGATTTATGGGACAACAGACTATTCTTGAGTTATTAACCATGATAATCATCTAAGATTTTTCTACAATTCTAATGGATAATGCGAGTCCACTCATTCTATTCAGATGCCGCATTAACATTCTATACAGTCTAACAATAACTTATGGCATGATCTTTGTAAGAAGACAACTTTAGTAAAAGCATTGTCTATACTCACCTTAATTCTTTGCTTTTGAATACGTTCGTTTGCTCCAATCCAATGGGTTCAACTCACCAAACAAATCTATACATAGTTAATTTAAAAATTAATACTAGAAGTTCCAAGATTTCCAAAATATAGAAACCCTAGGTTTGATTCTTCTCTCCTTCTAGGGTTCATAGTTAATCTATATTTTGTAGTAGTTTCTAGGAACAAATATCAACCATAAATCTCTCTAACAATCATAGTTGAAAGCGGTTATGAAATATTCCTTGAATCACGAAATCCTAGGTTAGCGGAGAGACTTTGTTCTTGAGTTCTTATTGAGAATCTAGCAAGTTTGAGATGGAATATTATTAGAATTGATGTTTGAAAGTAGTATTCCAATATTAATCACATTTAAAACTCACCCTAGATAGTATGAGAACACTTGGATGACTTGAGGATAAGAGAGAAGGTTTAATCTTTAAAGAATGAGGATATCTTCTCTCTTCCCGTCCACTTTATTTCAACGTCATGCCTTCGGCATCACAGTCCGTTCCCGGTGCTACCTACGATGCCCAAATAAAATTATTTCTTGTTTTGGCATTCTGATTGGCGCCCGACGCACCCCTAGGTGCCCAAAAATGCGATCCATTAGTCTGACAGGATAGTCTTCAGTAAAACGCCTATAACGTTTTATAGGAACATCGAAATTATGAACGGTTTGAAGTATTAAAAACTAGACGTCAAGAGCTTTATTTTGATATATAGCTCAAATCTGAACTCATTTTAAATCGATATATATGATCCTTGAAACTTAGGTCATATGCTACTAATGTCAGTTTCATCCCTTAAACAAGTCCAATGCATTCCAATTTACTTCTATACACTTATAATCATCCATTCAACCTTCTAAATATAAGATTTATGTATTTTATGCCTTCAATCATAACTTTTCATATATCTTTTGTCCATCATAGAGATTAAGCGGGAACATGATACTTAGCAAAAATATTTCGGGGCTTTACAATTATCCTCCCTTATATGACATTCATACTCGAATGTCAAATGAGTTAAGTTAAAAATCCTACCATTAGCTCTCTGTCCCTTTTGCGTAGATTACCTAAAATGCAAAATTTGGCCAACACTTTGAATTTCTTATAATTTCTATACTACCTCCTTTGGAACTAGAGCAACCACAACATTTTCAACATGTCAAATCTCAATCTTTTATAGCCCATACAACTATCCAACTACAACCCAAAATCCAGACCACTCAAGATCACACATAGTTATCAAAACTTGTACATATATAGGTATGAAATCGTTTTGAAACTTGAAACAATTACATGTCTCCTCCTCATATAATAAATGATGGTGCTTTTTCTTCAAGTCCTCTTCGACTTCCCATGTAGTCTTTTCTAAGCCTTTCTTTAGTCTATAATTTCTTGAGGATAATATGGAGCATGATTTTATGTATATAGATCTTGCGTCACTTTTAATAGGAATTATATAATATTAAAACCAACATAAGTTCCCTTATATATCGTATAAAGCTACCATAAAATATAATTTCACAATAACCTCCCTCGTTTGTGATTCCGCCTCTAAAATCAAATTGGCCACTCTTACTATTCTCGTTTGAGAATAAACCTTACTCATTATTAAACTTTTCTTCTAACTCTTTCATCATGAAAAGGCACATGTAGGTTGGGAAATGCACCCACTATTATAGGACTGCTCATAAAAATCATAAGAACTAAAAGTTACCTCGGAAACATGACGTATATTTAGGCACTTTTTGTTCTTGCTTTTTCTTTCTGACCTTCTTAAGGTTTAGGAAAATTGAGGCATCACCTCCCTCTTCTTCTCAAAGTATATATATATATACACACACACACCATTCTTTTAGAACGTACCATCTTTTCTGCAGCCTCAATTTCAAGACGTCATTCATCCATATAGGACTACTGGTGCCCTTTAATCATTTATATCTAACATTACTTTTATACTTTTGGGTATTAGGATACCACTTATCTTATCAGGTTCGCTTTATCAATTTGGCGACTCGGTCCTCTGCCCACTTGATTGTTACAAATAGAACTACTTCTGAACTTGTGACAATATCTAACCTTGTGAGTTACCTGTTTTACTGATAGACTATTATCCATATTCATATGGCTTGTGACAAGTGGTGACACGTAAACTCTAGAACATCTATGTATGTTCTTCATTTTCTCATCTTTTCTAATTTCTTGAAATTACCCAAAACATAGTAGTGTTCTTCTACCATCCTTGGGATTACTGCAATTTAACACCTGTCATGCCTCACTTATTGGCACTATTCTCAAGTTTATCATGCAATCCTTTGTACGATAGGCACATGTGAGGGCTACGACATCACATAGATTAGGCGCTCTAGTGTACTCTGCTCTAACTCTTTGGCTAGCAATACTCTATTGATATTTTATCCTCCGAGGCAATTAACACCTTAAAAACTTAATCCCTTTGTTTTGCGCTATATGTGCGCTTACGATATCCATTTTTCAGTGGCATATCTCATCTAGCTCTGTTAATCCCTTGATACATCCTAATCTACTACAACATCCATGGTACTCTTATATCACTTTTGGTATTAAACTCACATTATACAAGCACCTTTAAACTTGTGTACATATTTGGACATGCCATTTACTGCAATGACGATTTGCTAGCCAATGATAAATAATTTTGGCTTTGAATCTTAATAGAGGATGTTAATTAACTTCCTAGTATGAGTCTATGGTCCTAACATCATACACATTGCAATTATATGTACTTACTATCTATTTATTTCTCAGATGGATGAGGTACCGATCTTACTT